CCCAGAATGAGAAATTTTAAGTCCTTTAGTATTCCAAAAAGGATGAACTGAAACTAGATTGTTGGGTCTTCACATTTATTTGCATTTCACTTCTGCTGTAGTAATCCTGTATTTTGAGATTTCTCCTGGTCATTGCCAAAGTTTGTAAAGGAAAAGGCTATTCTCCCTCTTTCATCCTCTCCACCCCCTAAGATGTATAACTTCTGTTTCCAGTTCTTTGCTGCCCTCCCCTGCAGTACTGGAAAGGCTGCAGTGATAGTAAGGTTGAGTTAGGATGAGCTGATGGATTTGAGATCTTAAACCCTTAAATACACCTTGATGTGTTTTTGTCACATGCTCAAGGTTAAACTAATTGCCAAATTTGGGGTCAGTAAGAAAATTTTTCATGATTAATTTGATAGGGATGACTGGTATTTTTTTTTTCCTTACCTTGTAGCATGGAGACTGAAGCAATGCTCCAAAGGCTTGAAGAGGAGATATTCTAGTTACTGTAGCTGCCCTACTGAAGGAATGAGGAGCTGGATAGTGTGTGGGTAGGGAAATGATTAGATTAAAGGGCTAGCTAAGGTCTGCACCAGTCACCTGTGACATTGAGTGGAGGAAGATGTTCACATATAACAACATGTAGCATGAGTGGAATGTAGCAGTGATGCTAATGGCTGGTGTCTGCATGCATACTTAGAGGTGTGAGCAGAGCAGAAGTGCCTGCAGGAGACCATAAACAGTAGGATAAACAGTGTGATATAATCTATAAGGACCTAATTAAATGCACATAATCAAGACCTGTTGATGCATTCTTTGCATTTAAGTTATTGAGCAGCTGGACACTATTTCGTCGTGTTCAGGCACTAGCGCACAGCTTTACGTTTGCAGCCTGCTATTGCTGCTCTGGACAGAGTCCTGTGTGATAAGCCCAGCACTGAGCTGGGCGGTGACTGTGGCAAGGCTGGGGGAGTCTGGTCCTCGGAAATGAGATCTGGTATAGGCTCTGAAGCAGGCAGTTACAGCTGCACAGCAAGAGCTGCCCTGCACTCTGGGGTGTTGGTAGGGAGTTAGGCTTTCTGAGCCCATAGTGACCACTGGGACACAGTGGCCACTGAGAAAGGCAGGACTGGAAGGAGCAGCCATCTGAATAGCCCAAGAATTTCATGTAAAGTGATGGTCCTTCTTGTTATACGGATGAAGTGCATTGGCATGGCCTCAAATGCTATCTCTTCCCCACTTGTGGCACATTTGTTAGTAATGGGAAAGCTCTTATGACTTTAGTCCTTTATGCGCTGAATCACTGCTCATGTTCTGGTTGTCTCTGGTGGTGGAGGACTGGGCATCATGATTAGTGTTGCCTTCTCCTGTTCCGTGTCCCTATATGTTCTGTGACATCAGGACTGTCAGTGTGTGAAGCTTTTTCAGGCCATGTGTAACTGCTAGATTTGGCTGCTGTGGAGCAGCAGACTCCCTGGTGAGACCTGAGCAGGAGTGAGGCACTGAACTGCTCAGGTAAGCGAAGGTCAGGACACGTACAAATCTCAAGTGCCTGACAGACCCTAAGGATGGAGGGGACAGTCCTCCCAGGTACCTCCAGAATTAGGCAGCCTCTGAGGGACCCTTTTTTGACTGCAGCTTTGGGCTCCTGTGATCCACCTATTTTATTTCACATGCCTACATCCTTTGGATCTGACTGTCATTCTGTGATGTCCTCCTGAGAAGTATTCAGTCATGTAATTAGTCTCCAGTCCAATGAGCCTGCTCCAAAGGTGTCACTCCAGAAAAAGCTGCGTGAAGAAGGTGATAGCAAAGACAGCTGCTTCCCCTGTCCCCTGAGCAGAGCCAGCAGTGCGTCACCATTTCCTGAACAGCAGCAAACACTTCAAAAAGATTCAAATGTAAGTGCTGTCCTCACAAAGGACAAAGCAGCATGTCCGAACAGTGCCCAAGAGATCTGATCAAGCCTGAGTTGTCTGAATTGTTCTGTTCATGTTGGACTATTGGTGGGTTGCATTTATTCCCAGCTGTAGTATAGTACATACCTACAGGTATCATTGCTTCTGGAGCTAAACAGCAATGCAGATCCCTTGGAAAGTCATGCTAGTTGTCTTGGAGGAAGTAACATCTTGGCCAAGATTCCCCAAACCTGTGCTTTCAGTAGTTTTGCAGAATTTCAAATGGATATTTCATAATCTTATTTTCTTGGGGTAATTCCATCAGTGACTGACATAGTCATGTGGCTGAATATGTGAACAGAAAAAAATTGATATAATACCCTACATACCGATGGAGAAAATT